ACTTTTAACGCGTTAAATTAATCGATAAATTCTATTGGATATAGAATAAGTTCAGAAACTTGCTAAACCACAAAAAAAGACAAATTTTTTTAAAAATATGCGACGAAAACCACCGAACATCTGTACTGCACATACTATGAAAGAGAGACCAGTAAAAAATGTAATGAAAAAAAAAATTTGTTTTTTAGTATATTTTTTATTGTTAGTGAAGAATAATAAAAATTACATGAGGATTCTTCCAAATCAACTTCTGAAATATGTTTAGCTCACATTTAAAGTTGAACACAAATGGAAGGACAATTCGATAAATCAATTCATAGGAATAGAAATTCCATTAACGGTCATAAGGAATTTTTATTTTAATTTATCGTTGTAGTAAAATGACTGTCAAAACGATGATCTCACTCTAATAAATGCATTTTAAATTCACAATATTTTACCTACAGATATGATAATTTAGAGGATTTTTAATGCATGAATTGTGTCATGAGAAAAAAATTATATAATAAAGCTAGATTTTTGTTTTATCCTTTTTTTATCGAACCCGTTTAATAATTGATTATTCAATCGCTAATTATTAAAAAAAAAAAATTATGCAACGTTGAGATGTAACACTGTTCCTTTTTTGGAAATGGATTTAACGCGAAATAATTCAAAGCTGAAAGGATTCTAATTGCCATGTTGTGAGATAAGCTTTTTTATTGGAAACCTTTTAGTAATTTGAACTAGTAACTAGTGCAATAACCTGTGATACAGTGAAATTCTTTTTCAAATAGATATCAAAACTTGATTTTTCAGTTGATTCAAGGAATCATTTAATTATTAGAATAACGGCATTTATGAATAAATATTTATCATGAGTATATGTATGTGAATGTATATTTTTTTTTTTTAGTTTGATAAGGGGCTTCGCAAATATATTGCTGTAAAAGGGTATATTACAAGCTGAAAGTTTACTCATGACCGAACTCCGAACTCATAAATCAGATTGATCAAATTTTTTATTTTACAAATCGAATGTTAAAATATACACCGTCTTTGTTCTACCTTTTTATGTATATAGTTTTTAACAGTTATTATAAAATACATGATGTAATCTGAATATTTTATTTAAATATATCAAAATAAAAAAATTGGATGGTTTTATTTTAAACTTGAATGATTGCAATTAAAGGATCACAAGTTGCAGTAATTTACGCGCACCATGAAATCATGAAAACCCTTTTTAAAAATTGGAAAGTTCGCAATGAAATCATTTGTTTGTGATGAATCTTTCTCCGAGTCACCATCTTTGGCGTAACATTTCCTTTAAAAAATTGGTTATTGTTTAAAAAAAAAAAAAAAAGGAGATTTCATGATTCAAGGTGCGCGCCTTCTGTTGGGTAGCGTATTCTTTCGATTTTACAACAAATTTCCAATTCAATTTTTTTTTAAAAAAAGGAGGTCAATGGTTCAAATGAACCCATTAACGTTGGGTCCCGATCCACAAATCTTTTAATAGATTATTCATTCATCTTTACGCGCTAAAATTATCATGAATTCGGTAAATCAACACAAACCTACCAACATCGAATCCGCCGTCCAAGAGAGTAAAGCCCAGAAAAAATAAAAAATAAGGAAAAAAAAAACTAATAAAAAAATTTTTTTCTAATTCTTTACAGTTCGTATTTATTCATGATGGATTAAATTTTATTTATTTAAATTTTATTTAAATTTTTATATTTTATCATTTTTAATTATAATTTTTTTTTAAATGTTTGCTATGGAACAGTGCAACAAGGTGGTAATCTTTCCAATACTAAAGTATGTTTTTCTTTTTTTTTTGATTGTATGGTGATAAGATGCTAAATTCGAGACATTTCATTGGCTGCATGTAAATTGGTATCTAAATATTTTTTTTGTTTTACAAAAGATTATATGATTTATCTTCTTCATATCATTCAAGTTAGAGGAATGGCATGCTGCAAAGTTACATTCTAAATTGAATATGTGTTCGTACAGAATATAATTGATTATAATATTTTTCTACGTGTATTATCTAATGCCAATATTCCAATATCATATATACTAGCATCACTTTTTATTTCTATTAAAATAAACGCTTCATCTTGTAATTCATCATATTTGTTTTTTGAGTTGTGAGACGTGTTATAAACGTGCAACATATTTATCAAAATACTTAGATAATGCATATTTGACCAATTTTTTTGCATTTTTTTTGAATCATTCGTTTAAAATACTTTGAAACATATGCAGTTACGGTTCTAATTTGGCAGGGTAGAAATATGCTATGTAATTAAATCTCGTTTCTTTGATGAATGGATCAACTTCATTTACTCAAGTATAGCGAGTGGTCTTTGCGAAGACCAATCATGCGGAATAATAATTTCACCCCCGCGTTATTAGTAATTTTGGCCCGATTTTCTGATGACCAAAATTAAAAAAAATTAAAAATTGAAGATAAAAAAAAGCATCTACTTTTACACTTTTTTGTACATTTTAATGTTCAATAAGACCCCTTGCGAAGATTATGCTGATCGTGTTGTTAAGCAAGTGCTGGCAATTCATGACAGCCCTCAGGTTATATATTGGTATTTATGACTGGAAGATATTAATTAACCTGAAGGTAATGAAAATATATATTTTAGTTTATTAATTATTTCTTAAATTTCAGAACTTCATATAATTTATAATTTAGCTCTAAATAAATAGTGATAGAAAGCTCTTTTTAATGAGCATTCGATTATTATCGCTTAAGACCAATTGGTTTTGTTTTATTGCATTATAGTACTCCTCAAGAATTTTAGATAAATTCTATCGTTCATCCAAATTGCTGGACATTCTGTAAAGACTAAGAAACTTGAAACCAACAATTTTAAGGTAACTCGTAAAATCAGAGATATAAGGTAATAAATTATAGTAATATTCTTAATAGATTTTTATATTGGAGTCTCTATTTCAACTGATTATTCTTGTGAATAACGGAATGTCTTGGAATTCCCGTCATAACAGAAAAAATTGGGACAACAAAATTCTTTCATAGCAACCAATGTCTACAACAAAGTCTTCAATATAATAAATAGATCATACGAAATTATTGAATCTTTTGCAATATAGGATCTGGATCTGAAAATACGAAAATTGGTTTATTAAAAAATAAGAAAACATCGCCTTTGTTCGGATCGACCCCATATTCAGCTTTTGGAAAGTCATTTATAAATCTTTGTACAATGCTAATTCTGCATCAAAATCTATATAAAGTAGAGACTTCAAATTTGCATCAGAATTCGGATTTGTGTTAGATTGAAATAACTTCACAATATGCTTGTTTAACGTACGTCATTGAGAGAGGCATAGGTGATTAGCTCGTGTCGCATCGAGTTGTATCGAGGAACAGCATGGTTTGTGTTCATATTTTTTTTATTATAATTATTATTTTGCAAATTGTATTTTAATAAATTTGATCAATTTGTAAATAGATGATCTAGTATCACGTATCGTTAAGGATACTTCATCATGGTTTCTGAACTTCGCGAATCATTATCAAAATGGCTTTTGCATAAGGATGTTCAAAGAAGTGTATCAAATTGTTGTGACAGAACCTTCAACCGTTTTTCTCTTGTCAAATTATTCCAACTCTGACAATTCTTTGTTAAACCAGCTCAATGATTAATTAAGTCAGATGCAAAAGCTTATGATATTGGAAATTCTGCGTTCATCATTAATTACTTCTGAAATAGATATCAATATGTTAAAATATAGAAATTTTATTTAATAAGGATCAATTGCATGAGATTTAGAAGATACTTCAATAGGTGCATGGTATGAACGAGATATTAAATTAATCAAGTTTCACGGAATTCATCATCAAGATGATCGTGATGAAAGAAAAGCTAAGTTTTGGAAAATGCTTTTCAATTTATGGTACGAGTTAGAGGTCTTGGAGGATTCATCGATGCTTAACATGGATAAAATAGCGGAGATTGATTGTTGAAACTATCAGCTGGACAAGCGTATTTGCTTTTTGCTAATTTATTATAAATGGTTAGTATATTCAATAAATTATCCTGAAGATGATATAAAATTCAAATCAGATCCTCTTATCCAACGGATCGTTAAAATATTTGTCTATTGGTTGCTGTACAAAACCACAGTGACTCATACATTCCATATATCTAAGATTAGACAGTGGATGTTAGTATTCGGTGGTGGCGATGTGATAGATTCGGTTTGATATAGTGCTGCAATGGATGCTGTAATCGTTGGACTAGATAGTATTTGAACTTTAAGTTTACAAGTGGAAGAACTAAAATCGAATTGTAAATAAAAAAATATATATATATTTATATTTTTATTATCTTCATTATAATGTACTAATATTGTTCTTTTATCATAGGGGTTATATGGCGTCATCTTTCACTAAAACATGAATGTCCAAGAAACCGACCTTCTGAATAAGGAAAATTTTACAATGTAAAATGGAATTTGCTTATGATCAATATAGCGTGATATTAAGTTTTAAATTCTATCTGATGGATTTATTAATTAATTTTCGAATGGTGTTTAGTTTCTTATCATCTTAGTCTTTACCCGATTCCTTGTAATTAGCATCTGTCATTTCAACAAAACCGAATGAGCCGGAGAAAAAAGCCAATTTGCTCCAAGCTAAAAACGACCCTTGTTGAAACCGTTTAGATGTTATCAGCTGATTGGGTAGCTTCATAAATGTATTGACCACAAATTCCAATTCCGAGAAGCCCACCTCTACGTAATTCAAATTAATTCAAATTACATGTTCCAGTCAGCAAAGATATTGGCATTTTAGAGACCGGCTACTTTGATGGCTTAAAAATGAAGACACAATATTCATCCATCGCCTGGTAAAACTTTTTTTTTTTTAATTGTTTTGATATTTATTGATTTAATTCTAATTAATAATGATTATGTCAATTGTTATCCATTAATCCTAGCATTCCGATACCTTCGCTTCGAAATGCTTTCTGATATTTAAACAAGTGTGACCGTAACCGTTTTCAACATCTTGCACCCAATACCAAAATTATAAATGTGTATAGAACAACAGGTACAGGAGATCTGTTTCTTATTTTGTTTCTTCACTTCTTTCCGCCCTGCATTCTTACCATGTTATAGTTACTGTAAAGTAGACTATTTTTAATTGCTCGTTTGTCAACAGATAAGAGAAAGATTTTTTAAATCCATATAAGAGATATATCAAGTTTAGAAAAATTGGCGTTTTTGGGGTGGGTAAATGTTAGGGGAGAGCCAGAAATTACGTCATTAAGATTTTAGAAATTTTGACCCCCCTTGTCATCATCCATTTTATAATTAACTTATATAAAATTTGTGGAACGTCATCATGAATTGAACCCTTTTAAAATGACGTAATTTCTGGCCCTCCCCTTATAAAGACGACAATTTGATCAAATGAAAAAGTAATACAATACTGGTGATTTAAGAATATATAGGCCAGACGGAAGTGGCATAATAATATTTTTAATTATACATAAGAATTCGCGTGGTTTGTCTTAAATAATTTATACTCATTTTTTTATTTTGTTATATTTTATTTTTTTAAAGAAAAAACCTAGTTATAAGAGCCGATGATCAAATAATAATAGTTGCGTATTTTACTATGTACACCATACCACAGATCATACAAAAACCAGTAACGTCTATTCGGAAGAAATAATGTAACAGGACATAGTGTGATGCTGAGGAATCTGAATGGCATAGTTATTTGTCAAGCAGATCGTACACCATTTGAATGTTTTGTGTTATATGTCATTATCTGATAAATAGCTCAACCATTC